CCGCGCGCCGCGTGCCGGTGACCTCTGCTCACTTTGGAGCCGCGGCCGCCCGCACCCCACTTCGGGTCGCGACCCCCTGGGGGCGTCAGCACGGGGAGCAGCCTTCTGGAGGCGCTTTCCCAGGTGCGGTTGAGGTGGCTGTTTTTGGCGTCCGCCGGCAGGGTCAGGAAGGCGCCTGGGCCCGTTTTAGGTCGCCGGTCGCCCGCGACCGCCCGCAGGACCCACGCTCCGATCGCCATTTCTTCCCTCATTCCAAAGTGAATGCTCCAGAGTCCGATTCCAGAAGGGTGTATTGGCAACCCAAGTTATGCGGGCACCAAGGTAAACGCGAGGGTGCTCCCCACCCCCTCCCTGGGTCTGGAATGCACGTTCCGAACGCCGAGTGCACTGGCGCGCACATTCGCGCGCACGAAGACTGCCCTCTCCGGCTCCAGCGCCAACCTTGCCCAGCCTGCGCTATATAAATAACACCAGCCCTGCGGCAAACGGCTGCATTAGCATATTTCCTCCTGCGCCCGAGGCCCCGCACCTCTTGAGACTGGCCCGGCGGCTTTCGCCCCAGCACGTTGAAAACGTTTCATGTGCTGAGAAGTTGATTAAGGGAAGACTAGACAAAGCGCTCCTTCTCCCGTATTGTTTGGCGAGAAAGGGAGAAAGCATTGCTTTTGCTTTTCCAGAGGATGCAATCCAAACTGCAGGCACTCTGTATTCTGCATCGCTATCCGTTACTTGCAGTCTTAACCTGCGCTTCGTTTTGCCATGGGCTTGCCGTATACAATTCTGGCCTGTGCTCGCTGGAGGCTGCGGGTGGGCTGGGCGTTGGGGGCGGGGAGAGCGAGGACTCCCCTGCGCCTGAGAGGGGGAGATTAGATAACCAGGAGCCCCAAGGCTCTAGGGCCAAAAACTCCAATTGCTCCAAGATAGGGGTCCAGGGAGCGTCACGAATTTAAAGAATTTCTGGAGGTGAAAGTGTACATTGTGTGCGCTCCCCCCACACCCACCCTTCCTATTATTAGCTTGGTTTTTTCTGCCCTTTCCCGCTCCCCACTGGAAGAGATAGTAAGTGCTCCTCGCTTACCCCCAAGCCTGGAACAGAAGCTGCGCTCGAGACATTAGCCATTTACTGTCAATACCACTGCTAGCTACACTTGCCGCATACAAAGTAAGAGGTCTTTTTTTTAGTGCACATACACCTTTTGCAGATCGTAGTTATTTCCCCTCCAGTGAGGGACTTTTCTAGAAAGGTCTGCTCTGTGTTTCACTCTTCCCCCAACCACCTCCAGCACCCCTCTTATAGCCCAGCCCCAGACAAGCATCCCGGGTCCCCAAAGCCCTTTCATCATCTCGTAAATAGTGCTGGGGTTCAGCACACACTCGTCGGGGCCCCTCAGATGTGGGGGCTGCCTCATGAAAGGGCTCACCCAGGCAGGGCAAACAGCCGCTCTGCGCCAAACCCTCTGGCTTGCCACCCCAGTGCCCCTGTGTTTTAACACACGGGGGTCGGTTACTGTACCACTGGGCAGCAGTTTAAAAGACATTTGTTCATGTACATTTTTAGGAGAGGAATTTCATTGTCGGGCTGTATTTTTAGTCCTTGTGCCAAAAGGTGATAACAATCCTCAAATGAAACGTTCTCCTAATTTGAAGATGGACTAGAAAACGGTAGGCTCTCAAACTCAAGGTAAGGCCATCAGTCTAGGGTGCCTGGAATTAGCCATCTGTCAGGCTGACGTGGGTGTTGTGATTAAATGGCTTTTACAGTTACAAGTTTCCCCCTGGCCCTCTTGGGTCAATATGCCCCCCCAAATCTAGTTGAGAGGATTAAAAAGGTAGCTATTTAAAAGAAGCTGGCCTTCAGTTCATTAAGACAGACCACAGGAGACCCCACAGACACAGAGGGACCTAGAATGAAGAGTAATAAGAGGATGCATTGGACAGCCTGGTGGTCTCCAGGTATGTATTTAAGTTCACAGGCAGGTATAGGGCAGGTGATCAGGCACCTGCTCTCATATTACCCCCTATGATGCTTCTGCTTGGGAGTTATCACTAAGAGCTAGTTTTCTTGTTTGCTTATTTATATCTTACCTCCCACCTCCAGGCTTTATTCGCGAGAGGCTGTAGTTCAGGCACCTGAAAAGTGCCTGACACGCACCTAGACAGCTCTTGAGCGAATGGGTATATCCAGTTATCACTCGATGTTCCATCTATTAGAATCCTGCAACTCTACTTACTTTGATGCTCCCGTCACCAAGACGGCTTTCTGTGTGCTCAGTCTCTCAGATCTAGAAGTCAGACCAGCGAACGGGAGGATTCCCATGAACTCACAGTTATACTTTTTATTCTAAGTTACCATGCTAATGCCTTAGCTCCCAGTATGAAGTTCTTAGGGGCACTTAGGGCCTGAAGACAGTAGGCCTGTGGGTGGGAAGCAGCTCGCAGACCACATGTTTTCAGGAAAATAATTGCCAACATTGGAAAGTCAGGAGATTGAACATTAAAAGACAGAAAACAGAGCAGGGGCTCTGGTCTTTGGGGGCCCTGTGTCTGCTGGGCGGTGTGTGTGTGCCTCCCCTGAAGCTGCATCTCCCTCCTGCTGACACTTGTCTGCCCTCCAGAGTGTCTAAGTTTGTGACGCTAAATTCTGAACTCATTTATCTCCACAAAAGAAGCTGAATCATTCTTCACTTGAAAACATGTTAAATAACCTACCAGCTTGTCATTTCCACAACCCAAGGAAAGAAAAAAAGCAACCGAATCACCAATACCCTCAAACAAGTTTATCTCCTAGGAAATAACTGGAAAAATATTTTGCCCTTACTTCTGAAGCTGGTAAAAGTCGAATGTTAAATCTTCCAGAATTCTATAGAAGTTAGTTCTACAAACAGCTGCTGTCAGGTTTAACAAAATTAAAATGTACAATACTAGGCACAGCTAATGGAGCTCATAATAGTTTTTCTTGCGTGTTCCTGTTTTTAATTTATACTTGAAATCTAGTGAACAGCTACATTTGGGGGTATCAGGTGTTGCTTTCTTACTGTGGTTTGACTTTTTTCTTTTCTTTGAAATAATGATTTTAAAAGTCAGTTATCTTGATTTTTGGAGGATGGGAGAAAGAGATGTGAAATTACTTCACACTGTGTATACTTGAACATTATTTATATCATACTCTGACTTTTGAATTTAGTTAACTCCAATTCTAGAACAAGGAGTTTGACATTTACAAAACCTATCATAGATGAAAATGAAAAAGTGACTTTTGTTCATTGGCAGAAGTAATAAAAATGTCACATCATCTAGCCTAAGGGAAGCTACAGGTATTATCTTAAGAAAAACTACTCCTTAACTATGAAATCAGATTCATCCTTTCTGATTGAGAGGAGGTGAAGATAGAAAAGAGAAGATAAGATTTCTCCACAAAGAGCTATTCAAATGTAAATGTGATGGATAGGCCCAATTACTTTTAAAAGCTTGGTCAAAATTTAATCTTGAACTCTTTTATTAAGTCAAAAAACAATTACTATAACAAATTGATCTAAAATTTGATGCTGGCTTTTGTTTGCTAAAAATCACAGTTGTCACATTTGCCTCACTGTGCTTCAGTTTGCCCTGCCTCTCTGTCTCTGTCTCTGTCTCTGTCTCTCTCTCTCTCTCTCTCTCTCACACACACACACATACACCCCGGTGAGAAAAAAGACAGATGATGCCAGGACTCAGAAGTGAACACTATGTTTCATTTCAGTATGGAAATAGCCTCTTTTGAGGGGAGTCACCCCCAATTTGCAAATGACCCTCATGGAGACACCCCAGCTTTCAGCAATGGGTGAGTGGCTGAATATAATTACTGTGGGAGCACCGTTGGGCTTAGGGAAAGGAACCTTCATTTCCTGCGAAAGACAAAATAATGCCCCTGAACAGACCACTTAGCACCTCCTGCCTTGCTCAGTGGAGAGGAAGGAAAGCCCTGTGGTCTGCCCATTGTCTGGGACACGTCTGACGTGACGGGATGGATTTCCTGGGAGTGAAGAATATCCCTCAATGGGTGCAGCAGCGTCACCCCTCACGTGGACAGGGGTGATGGGAATGGCCTTTGACCTTTGTGACCCCCTCAACCCCTCACTCCAGACTAACCCCAGAATGTAGTTCCTGATGCAAGATGCTTTGACTAAACACATTTGGGGTGACTTTTTGTCTAGTAAGCCTAGAATGTATGACTATTAGAGCCCAAGCACTTTTCATATTAAAGATATGGGCCGGGGTCCTTCCTGGTGGCACAATGGGTTAGGACACAGCACTGCAAGCTGGCCGCAGCTGCTTCAGTGTGAGTTTGATCCCCAGCCCGGAGCTGACCCACATGGCAGCAGACCTCTTCTGTTTTGCCTACTGCTCCCCTCAGCAGTGTACTTTGTTAATCTGCCTGTTCTGCTCCCCACTCTGTCTCTGGT